CTAGTAACAAGTGCCACGCTACTAGAAACAAGTGCCTTACTAGTAGTAACAAGAAGCTAGTAGAAACAAGTGCCACGCTACTAGTAACAAGTGCCACGCTACTAGAAACAAGTGCCTTACTAGTAGTGCCTTACTAAGAATAATTGAAATCCGATCGGAGCGGAACCTTTTTCAAAACCTGCGGAACGTGGTGGAACCTCCTCCAGAGCCCGCTCCGCCACTTGCGCTGATCTGCTCCGATGGCTGAAGACCAAGACTTCTCATTTAGAAACATGCCCAAAAGCAGGGTTTGTCCAAAAACCGTTGAACGAGCTGAGGAAGCTGAGGAGAGGACATACATGTCCACGCTCGCAATCTGGGTGATCAAGGTGTTCACCTGATCGGTTCCTCCTCTTTGATGCTTTTATGCGCCTTTACTTGAAGCTATGCGTCAACATGGGATATTGAAAACACAACCAAACGATGTTTTGAGAAAAGTGTGCGGATGTGTGCCGTTAAGGCCACACTCCACATGTTCAAAACGACAAACAATCAAAACAAGATCGACTAGAGACGGCAATCTAATCCTACAAAACATGTGTCGTTAGCTGCTCTACTGTGTTTTTGAAGCAAGCTCCGACTGGCTAAGGGCCTCCGTCAAGTTGGAAACTGACATTGATCCGCCACCTTGATCAATGGCCGGCTTACTACTAGCAGCAAGAAGCTACAAGGGGCTCCTGGCATCGCTACTAGGGGCAAGGACGCTACTAGGGGCTTCTGGCCTTACTACTAGGAACAAGAAGCTACTAGTAGCTCCTGACCTTGAACTTGATCAATGGCCGGCGGGACGGATCAGTGGTTTCGGACCTGGCACTGTCTGTCGCACCCTTTGAGCGCCCGCGCTGTTCAACGTGTCCGACAGGGTGGCGAATTGGGTTTCAATGGGCGTGACAGCCTCACTTGAAGGCGCAGTTGGATATAAAAACCTATTGTCAAGTTCACGATGTGCACTTAGCACTTTTCCATGTTTGGCACGGGCTTCCCGGTGGAGAACATGCCTTTAGCCGTGTTCCTCAGAAGCATGACAGCTTCGAGTACGATGAGCGCGTCCTTGTCCCCAACGACTTCAACTGCTTCTCCTCTTTCCAAAGAACGCCTCAACAACGGCCTCTCCTCTTCTTTTGAGGCCTACAGGAAAATGATCCCTTTGCCCACATCGCAGAGCTGGCACCTGAATGCCTTGGTTGATACGGCCAGGGCTACTCGTGGGAAGGGTCGTGGGCACGATGCTAGGGCGGAAGAAGAAGACCCGTCTTGGCCCAGTTCCGGCGAGGATGAGGTCCTGGTGATGAGACTGCAAACACAGAAGATCCTGCGGAGATGGCAGAGCCTGCGGTGATGAGACCTACAGGAGCTGACGCTTTCTTGGGGCTGCGTGTCAGTCCAGTTGTTGCATTGACCGACAACGCCCGCTCCACAGGTATGTGGAACACCTCTTCTCTGAACTATGCTGTCAACACCACGTGCTTTGCTCGATGCCAGAGGTTGCGATTGCGGCCGTCACAAACTGTAGACCTGCCCGGTGGCGGTTGGTTGGCGTTTTGGCGCGCTAAGTGCTCACGAATCGATTTCAGTGGGAGGCTCCTTTGCTTTGGCGCCTCTCCATGGCAACCTGTCTTGGTCGGGCATGAGGAACACCCTCTCTCTGCAGATGGCGTGGAGCTCTCTTTGGGTTGCGTATCGCAGAGGAGGCGAAAGACCCAAGAAGAAAAACCACCGAGTTGAAGGCCAAACAGCACCGTTCAGCGAGTGAATCCACCTCTGCCCGAGCACACGTCGACACTCAATGGTGAAGAGCAATTGCAACCTCTTGTGAATGAAGACATGATGCATGAGGAGCTCTATGAGGTTTTGAACTCAGCGAAGAGGCACGATTCGTCCACCAGTGCCTTGGAGTCAGCCACGTCGATCGCCGCAGCTTCGAGCACTGCCGGTCGACAGAATGCCATGTTGCGGTTGTTTTGCTTGCTCCTGCTACCTCAGCTGGCACCTGGACAGGAGAAAGAAGTTAAAGCGAAGGAGGAGAAAAACATTGATCATTTTGAGGCACAGGAAATCACCACCATTTTGGTAGTCCTGGCAACCACCTTTTTCTTGCTGGCTTGATGGAGCCATGGCCGAACCACATCCGCGCAGCCTCGGAAGAACGAAGTCAAGGAAGCTGCAATTCAGAAGGATGACGAAGAAAGTCAGAAAGCCTCTGTCGCAGAAATGCTGCGAATTTGTTGCTACAACATCAAAACAAAGCTGACATGATACTCAACGGTGCACGTCAACTGCTGCTGCAGGCTGTGCATGAGATGGTGCATCATCATGGAGAGTGTCCATATCAGCGTGGAGTGTTGGTCTGCCGCCGGGGCCTGCGATGGCATGTCAATGTTCATTGTAGCTCCGCGGAGGGACGCAATCCACAGATGCAAGATGAATTGTTTGCTTGCGTGCAGTACAGCCAATGCATCTTGCCACCCGACCTGGCTTCGAGCTTCAATTTCCCGGTGGTGCGCGGCGTAGGAACTGAGGGGTATGGCAAATTAACACCACTTTCCTCTCTGTCAAGTTCACGATGTGCACCCATTCCCTTCCGAGTGGGAGTGGGAGGGCATTCAAGCTGAAAAGCTGCGGCCACGCGTTCCCTGGGAGCGCATCCTTTCGTTTTTTGAGGTTTGTCCCTTTGGGTGCCATCGAGTTCTTCGCACCCTCTATAGGTGAGGGCACCAAGAGACACACAATTCAAAGGCTGACTGCAAGGCACCCAGATTCTAGTGCAACATATTGCCAATGTCCAACTGGCCCCCTCATCTGCCAGGTTCCTTCTAGTAAGGAGGAGTCGCGTACTGCCTGATTTCGCTTGAGCTATACTAGGTTTGGAAAACACATAAAGTAGATACAGCTCAATACAACCTCATTTCACCATGTTCCTCTCGAGGTGCTTCTCCCCAAGTCCACCGAGCTTCCAGCCAGGCCGTAGATAGTGTCCCGAACGCTGACCATCTGCGCAAGGTGAAAGGGCTCCAAATGTGTCCACAGCTGGTGGCTATGACCATTTGGCTGCTTTAGCCTTCAATAAGAAATACAAAAGGGTAATGCGGCATGCAGTATTGAGTATACAATTGTGAGTGGATCAAGGCGCTTTTGGAGGTGGGAGGTGCAATGACTCATTGAGAAAATGACAGTTGACCGCACTTGACCGTGCACTATGAATTTCGAGGAACACAAACACACTTTTCAAAGGTCTTTGGTGCAGCTCTTTGGTCACGGCGCACTTGTGATGGATTGCTCTCATTTGCAATCTGCACAATGTCCTGCAAATGACAGAAAGCAGAAGTGACAGAAAGCAGGCAAAGCATCAACGTGGCTCACTGAAAAGAAAATAATGTCACAGGCTGTGCTTAGTGCAACACAAAGTTTAGCGATAATTACTCAGTGAAATAGCAACAGGCTGGAAGACAATTGGGTAGTGCATATAATATATATATATCTGCAATGAACCCGAACACTGAGCCATTTGAGCTCGCTGGGAGAGCATAAAAATGCAAGAGTTCAGTTCGTGAATCACTGTTCCAAATTTACAACCTTGCCTCTTTGCCCCTCTTTGCCGAGCAAACTAGCACAAACTGCAAGAACATCCTGTGGCCTGAAATGGTAAGTATCGAAATATGTGACATGTACTCATGACATCATCTGACAACTTTCTTCGTTTCTCAACGTGGCATGAGCATGATTCAAGGACAAATACAATCAAATACAGTATTGTTCTTGTATGGCATTGGTGATGGTCCTCATGGTACTGTACGGCATTTTGTTTGACCTTTGAAATCTGCTGTGTCTACAGTGTTGTGTTTCATTTATCCATAATTGTTCCACCAATACAAAAGCCTGAAATGTGTCCAAAAACATGTCATGTCCATCCACGCCACATCATAGCAGCCTGGTAGCAACCAGCCAATTTCTTTGGCTAGACTATGCTGGGCTTATTGTGGCCAAACCAAAACAAGTTGCATTGTCGAATGTCATTTGAGAGGGCTAAACAGTGCATTTGGTGATTGAATACATTCTGGAGGCCATTGCTCTTAGGTTGAATAATATTCAAGAATTCTGAGTTTCATCGAAACCCCGTCCGCCAGATTGGTGCTAGCATCTGGGTCAGCTTGGAGAACTGCCGAGTTCAAGCTCAAGCACCTCTGCGAGCAAACTCTAAAAACACACAATATCCTATATAACCTATATATGTTTATTGTTTATTTATTGTTCTAGTCAATAACCGTTTATATGTGTTTATATTGTAGATTTCTTCATGCAATGTTTGATTGGATTTGTACGCCACTCACTCGTCTCACTCGTCTCATGTGGCCGTTCAAGGGGAGATACCTCCCCACACAAGTCGAGGAGACATGGCGCATTTTGCGAATGGCGGGCGCCATGGACTACATGGTGAGGAGCTCTGCGAGGAGCACTTGTGCTTCATTCTGCATTTTTCACAGGCCACGATGATGCGAGCACTCGCATCTGACAACATCACGGATCATCACGTCACAGCCAATCTGTGAGAACTCAGTAACAAGTGCCACGCTAGTAGTAACAGGTGCCTTACTAGTAGTAACAAGAAGCTATTAGAACTCACAATCGGGAAGATGTGGAACGAGGCCAGCGCGCCATGAATCATAATAAGCCGTGGAACGAGGGAGACATGATTCCTATTGACGAGTCTGATCTGGGGTGGGGTCAACCGGTGGCAAATCAAACTGATAATTTCACGACTTTCGGCGTTACCGCGTAATACCGCGCCGTAACGAAATGTTTCCGAACATTGTCGTCGGAAATGGTTTCGTTGAGAAAGCGGCCAAGGAAACGTCCGAACATGTTCCGGCCAGGCGAGGTTTACACAATGCTGCAGGCTTAGGGTTTTCGTTGGGGTATCTAAACACATCTAAACACAAATCATCATGGTGTGTTTGGTGGCTTTGGTGGGGTTCAAACCTCAGAGAATGATAGAGGTGTCGGTAGATCAACAAACATATAAAGCCCAAAATTTAACCACAGAACGGTATAGAACGGTGCTATTCGGCTTACTGAGGGGAACAACGTTCTTGCGGCCCAGCATGGCCCAGCTGGTCACGCTGAAGCTTGCACTTTGAGGCCATTGGGCGTCGCCGAAGTGGCTCATTCAGCCATCTGCGCACAGAACGCTTTTATGAACCGGCTGACTGACTTGCAGCACAGCAGCAGGAAACCCTGTGACGGACTCAAATGTGCGGGAGCAAAGGCTCAGCGCTGCTCACAGCAGGTACGGGCGCTACAAAAGCACGTTAGTTGCAAAGGCAGCGACTTCAGGGCGAGGGCCTTGGAAGGTCTAAACATCTGCATTTCACTCCCCGCCTTTCTGCATACGCTGTTCAACAATTATGCGCCCGTATACACACCCACAATGTGCTTGCTGAGGATCATGTCCGAGGTTTAGTGTCAGGTTACAGGTTGAGTGTCGGATCCGACTTAAATTGCTCAAACACTCCTCAGCGTCAAACCCTGCAAAAATCATCACGTTTCCCCCATGTTTACCCTGCCTGTCAGTGATCGTGATGGCCATCTCCATGTTTGCGTCCACTTGCACATCTGAGAAAGAAGAGTGAGGAAACTGGTGGGAGACTCTGGACATTGGACGAAAGCCTAATACAAAACCATCTTGACTAAGGACACAACCCAATGCTTGGAAAAGCTCCTCTCCAATTTCCTGCAGAGCATGCCAACCCAAAGACTCTGAATTGGTAAATAGGCTGAATGACAGCACATTGTCTTGTCAAAGGCTACAGCCTGGTTGAAATCAATCAGGACAAGGCATACTCCGCTGCCCACCATGGTCACAATGACCTTATTCGAAACAAGGTACCAATTGATCGACTTGACCGAATACAAACTCTGTATATATAATTACTCATATCTTGCACTGAGTGCGAGATTAAAATTCTTGCATATTCTTACTATCTCAGCCCCTAAACATGTATGAAGTAAGAATGGATTTGCTAGTCCTTTGAATTTCAGCGGAAGGTGGCAAGTGCCAAGATCAAAAAACACTGGGCGGAAGAAAAGGAAGACACTGCAGCAGAAAATAGTAGAAAGGAACATAGTTGAAGCAAATGCTTTACAACCCCTTAACAGCTCCAAAAGACTTGCAATCCATCCCGATTAGATTCCAGTTGATTGGACTTGAAGCATATTCAACGGCAGCCTTGCATTCCACTGTCATGCGTTGTTGCTTAGCGCAGCGGCTGCGGCATAGCCGTCCCAAAACTGGCCAGGTATTTATATTATTCGGGGGTATTATGGTGGAGTATGAATTCATCCAGCGACCATGACAAGATTTTCACCAGGTGGAAAGTTAGATTTGCACTAAAGTGTGAAACACACTAGGCAAGAGACCCCAAACAGTGTGTCTTAAGGTCTAAGTCTAAGGCTAGGGTCTAGAGGTGTAGAAGCAGAAGGTCTAAAGATCTAGACGCACTGGGCTCTGGGAGAGAGGTGATGGTGGTGATGGTGGGGGTAATGATGGTGGCGATGGTGATGTTTATGATGGCGCTGATGGTGGTGGTGATGGTGGTGATGGCGGTGATGGCGGTGATGGTACTGGGGCTGGCGCTGGGGCTGATGGTGATGATGGTGGTGCCTGCCATGAAATCTGCACTTACAGGTCCACAAAATACTCCTCGAGGTCCACAAAGCGCTGCGTCTGCCACGAATTCCGCACATCAAGACTCACGTCGCGCAGCCCTGCCAGGGCGACTCGCAGCTTCCAAAGACAACATCGAGATGTCAAAGCAATGTCTGAAAACGAGCCACATGTCCAAAAGTCACGGTTCACTGAACCTGCCACGAAAACAGAGCACGCTGAAGACCACCCACAGTCACCACCATGTCCAAAGCACTGCGCCTGCCACGAAATCTGTACATCGACATAAAGCCACTCCGATCTGCACCTTTCACGAAAAGTCGATCTTAAACCACCAAAACAAGAGGTTTCGCTTGTGCCCACGAACAGCGTCTCAACTAGCACCCGCGCCGGCCTGCTAGATTCTGTCGAAATGCACTTCGAAGACGTCGAGGTGGCTCGAGGTGAATGAGTGTGCTGTAAATAGCAAACTAGCAAGGCATCCCGATGAGCACCTCCGATCATACACCCATCCTTAACCCTTACCGTAAGAACCCCTAGTGTGAACACACTGTTTGGGGATGCTCTCAGACTTGTCCAACGTTTTGTGGCAGAATCACTGGGGAAAAGGAGGTTGGGGAAATTCATCCTGGGAGAGTTATGCTAAGCATGCTATTGAATACGTGGGAATGGTATGGAGAGGCTAAGGTCATGAAAGCTGGAAGGGCTTTAAGTAGGGAACAGCTCTGTGAGCGTATCGCGTATGGCAAAAGTACGATTCTTCAAGGACTTGGACACATCAGGCAAATGAATGCACATGATACGTTTACATGCTTTACTACTGCCAACAGGACGCAGGATAGCTCATGCACTAATAATGATTTGGTTCGTAGAGTTTTCGGGAAACTTAACTAGTAGCGTCCTTGCTCCTAGTAGTAAGGCCAAAAGCCCCTAGTAGCGTCCTTGCTAAAGGCCTGGAGCCCCAAGTTGCGTCCTTGCTCCTGGTAGCGATCAGGAGCCCCTAGTAGCTTCTTGTTCCTAGTAGAAAGGCCAGGAGCCCCTAGTAGCGTCCTTGCTAAAGGCCTGGAGCCCCAAGTTGCATCCTTGCTCCTGGTAGCGATCAGGAGCCCCTAGTAGCTTCTTGTTCCTAGTAGTAAGGGCAGGAGCCCCTAGTAGTGTCCTTGCTAAAGGCTGGAGCCCCAAGTTGCGTCCTTGCTCCTGGTAGCGATCAGGAGCCCCTAGTAGCTTCTTGTTCCTAGTAGTAAGGCCAGGAGCCCCTAGTAGCGTCCTTGCTAAAGGCTTGGAGCCCCAAGTTGCGTCCTTGCTCCTGGTAGTGATCAGGAGCCCCTAGTAGCTTCTTGTTCCTATATAGTAGTAAAGCCAGGAGCCTCCGCCTCCTAGTTGTTTCTCTTTCTCTCACATGTTCATGTTCTGACACCATCATACACCATTATACACCATCCCATTGCACCTTGGATTGCAGTGGCTGGAACGAAACTCTATTCATTATAAAGTGTTTAGTAGTTTTACTATAAACCGATAACGAAACTACCCAGTTGAAAAATCCCCTACTAGCAACGGAAATTCAGATCTTAAATCTCGCATGTTGAATCACAAGCTTACCTCATTCGTTCACCCTCATGAACAACCAGTTGGCATTAATTTGAGTTGATGTGACACTCTACCCGGTTGACATTCTAAGCAGGGTTAACTCCTACAGTATGCTCAAACGGATCAAAAAACCTGCCATAATTTCACACTAAACCAAAGCCAGATCGACTTGATTGATGCAAATGTTCAGAATTTGCGGTGAAAACGACAACGGTCGGAAATGAATGCATGGTGTGAGCTGGTGTCCCGGCCAGGATGCCGCCAATCAACAGCACCAGCATGGAATATGCACAAGCACCACACCTCAATGAAAGGAGAAAAGAGAGCGAGAAGGAATAACATTGTAGAAACCTCAAGAAAAACCAAACAGAAATTGAATGAAATTGAATTTGGACGTATCTAGCAAGCTCTAGCGGCAACAATCAGTGAAGTTCAGGACCCAAAGGACACAATCAGAAAAAACACGATTCAAAAAGAGTTTGACTGGTTTCAAAAGACCGAAACTGTTTGAATAGAAAAGATATGAAACGAGTGAAAAGAAGACGATTCAAACCGTTCATTCGCCAAGTTACGATACGCAGCAGGGGCAGCAACGCACCTCATAAGATTGTGGATGCTTTCTCATGATTAGACAGTAATGTGAGAATGCGCTCTGACTGGGGTCAAACACAGTCGAACGAATTTGAATATCTGTGCCCTTTCTAAGGTCCCAACACATGTATGATCCTTGCAGGACCATGTCTTCGAATATCGCACAAACAAGAAAACACAGCTGGGCTTCAGAGAAACCTCCAAGTAGAACAATTTATTTTATGCATCTTGATGTACCACGAGAAATGGCACACTGCTTTGGCATGATATATGACATCACCAAAAATGTGAGTTGGGTCTTTACATGTCTTTACCCCTACAAGCATTGAAGAATAGAATGAACTTGCACACCTCGCCTAGCCTTCCTTCCGAAAGGCCGACATGGTCCCCCTTTCTATATATTTCTCTTCTATTCTCTTCTTGTCTTCTTTGCACTTCAGTGCTTTGATCTTCTTCGTTTCTTCTCACTTCGAGCACATGCATTTTTCAGGTGCTCTGCTCTGGTTCTTGGCATCGCAAGGTCCTCGTCTCGCTCAGAGGGCTTGTGCTTGCAGCAAAAGCCGCCCTAGCAAACCAGCATGACCAAATTGACGAGGTTGCTTTTTGAGCGGGGTCAAGCGTCATTAAATATGAGTACATACCGAATACCTCTTTTCTTGACAATCTTGACAGCGGCAAACCTCTTTTCTTCATATGATTCGATGTCTTGGCAAGTATGTAAACTTGTTGGCCTGTCCTGTGTATTAAGGTCTCAAGTCTGTCTGAGAAAGCAAACATCAGATGTTTTATGATTTTTTGGGTTTCGTCCGGTCCCATTCCAGGCCAGCGCAAGGAAGCCGCAAATCACAATGATGAGGTAGATGAAAAAGAGCAGGAGGACCGCAGGTTGAAGCTGGCGAAATCGTGTCAGAGGGCAAGTTGAGTCGTGCCGTCGCACATCTTGTCGAGACATGGCGAGACGAGAGTCATGGCCTCCAACCTAGCGATGGGTCGGAGACATGTTCCCCTTTCGACTTGCGACGTGCCGTGTCTCGCACTAAGGCGCACTTGAGAGGTGTCGCCGTAGACCAACCTCAAAAACTCAGATGCCTTCCTCGCATACAGTTTCAAGGACGCTACTAGGGGCTCCTGGCATCGCTACTAGGCTACTAGGGGCTCCTGGCCGTACTACTAGTAACAATGTTTGCTATTGGAAACAAGAAGCTATTAGAAACAAGAAGCTATTAGTAACAAGTGCCTTACTACTAGTAACAAGAAGCTAGTAGGAGCAAAGGGCCTTACTAGTAGTAACAAGAAGCTAGAATTAGAATCTGTACAAGGTACGACAAACAAGGAAGAACTCGGGAGCCGAGTCTTGACGATATGAGATTCTTTCGGCGAGAATGCCACGCTGCACAATGCTAGATGCCAATGTGCAAGATGCCGAAAGGAAGCCATAAGAACGTAAGGACGCTTTTCAGGCCACTTTAAAGCGGGCCTTTATGAAAGGGGCCCACAAAACACTATATGTTCCTTTGGTTCAATGTAAATGTATGCCGTATGCTACGCACAGACTTCCACCTCAAAAGCCCTGGGTCTCCAGCTCAGTATTCTTCTGGAAGCCGTCAGGGTCCACCAAGGCGCCCACCCTCAGGTGATTGCTACTAGGAGCAAGGACGCTACCAGGGGCTCCTGGCCTTACTACTAGGAACAAGAAGCTACCAGGAGCAAAGGGCATCGCTACTAGTAACAAGAAGCTACTAGGACGTGTGTGGCATTGCGTAGCGCATCGGTTCAGATCACCTAGCGGTGGCCTCCACCCTAGCGGTGGCATCTCCATAGTGAAACCGATGAGTTTCTAGTAGCTTCTTGTAACTAGTAGCGATGCCCTTGTTACTAGTAGCTTCTTGTTCCTAGTAGTAAGGCCAGGAGCTACTAGTAGCGTCCTTGCTCCTAGTAGCGATGCCCTTTGTTACTAATTTGGTTTCACAAAGCCCTGAAATCTCGGAAGCTTTTCAGGCTGTTCGGGTGCTACCGAGGTGGGAGAAGCTTCCTTGCAAACCCTCCCATATTGCCGCCCAATCCTGAGACTTCGCAAGCTCTCTTTCAAATCTCAAGTGCCAGGCTGTTCAAGGAGCTGATCTTTTGCTGTCCGAACCGGCGCCATGGCAGCCCTGGGAACACGACCAAGCACTGACGCTGACAGTTCTTCAGAAATGTCGGAGAATGGAAATCAAGGGCTGCAGTCACTGCTGTCAAGCAAATGTTCAGACTTTCTGCCTGTCCAAGTGGCTGAATCTGACTCTGCAAATCCTGTGCCTTTTGCCCTTGCAATTGTTCATCGACCTGGAAGTTATGCACAAGTTGTTTCTGGTACTTGGCAACAATTTCTGCCGCTTGGAAGCTCTTCAGCACTGTCCTTTTGGATTATGTCAACAGACTCAACGCACAGCGTATGATTTCCTCATTGCAGTTACCAATCACCTGTAGTCTGTTTCAATTTGATCAAATTCAACAGGTCACACTTGCCCCCAACGCCTGCTTTCGAGAATTTCGGATACTGGTTCCTGGATGAATCAACCCATGCAAGCTGCCAAAATGAGTGAGGAGGACAATCTGGCACTTGACTGGCATTCCGGCCCCTGGTGACTACGCGGTTGCATATTCCAGGTAAAAATAGATCCAATGCAAAACCGATGACGCCAGTATTCCAATTTAGGCCTCTGTCTTAGACCTTTTGGTTGGGCCCTGCGACGCTGACTTGCTTCAGCTAAGACTACTTCCTGAGTCCTGACGATTGCCAACACCCAAAAGGCTCTGAGCATCTGACCCAAACTCTCTTCCTTGGTGTCAGAGGTCCGTTCTTAGCTTATCTAGCTCAGATTCCAGAAATCACAATTGCGAAAAGAAACCTGGGTCTTCATGCTGGAGACAAGGAGTACCAACATTGGGGCCCAACATAGCTATATGCATGGTAAATCACCCTGATGAGAAATCACATGACACTGCATTGGCTGCGTGGGTCGTTCCATCCTGAGAAACCTAGAATAGACTGCCGCTGATTGGCCCAAGTAGTTGTTCATCTTCCTTTAACATGGCAAGTTACAGTGAGAGTGACAGAAGTAGGAGAACTACAAAAGCAACTGAGCTCAGAAAGTATCCAAACGGATAGTTACAATCCCTATTAGGTTCCTTTAGCGGCCATCGCTAGGTTCCACATGAACGGACTTGTGATCAAACGTACTTGTGCCAATCTGAGTTTGGAGATGTTTGGAGTAGGGCAAAAATGCTTGAACCAGAACATCCATCCTGAGGAGCGTGACGAAGGCTAAGCGAACTGGATTCAAGATGTCGAACAAAGTCTGGCAAATCACACACCTGGCAAGTTCAATCAGTCCAAATTTGCAAAAGATGTCACGTTTTTTCAAGTCAGCCACGAGTTCAATAGGTTCATGCAGAGTCAATTCTGGTTCACTAGTTTGGGGCAAGAGTTTGCTGAGCTTAGTCATGTCGTTCTTGCTCCTAGTAGCGTCCATGCTCCTAGTAGTATGGCCAGGAGCTCCTAGTAGTTTCTTGTTCCTAGTAGCGATTCTTAATGCAAACATTGCATTTTCACGCATAGCTCTGACCTACGTCAAACTTCTGCTTGGAAACCGCCATCAACACCCCCGTCATCTCTTGCACGTTCAGGGTCAAATTCAAAGGAAAACCAGGAAAACCCGGAATATCCTGAAGAAAGAAAGGACAAACGAAAGGATGTACGAAAGGTCTCGAAACATTAGGTGGAGGCCATCGCTATTAGGTGGAGGCTATCGCAAGTAGGTTGGAGGCCATCGCTACTAGTAACAAGGAACAGAATTAAAGGACACAAAATAGGACCTCACATTCCGCTCTCGGCCCCAATGCCTATGATGGAAGCCAGTGGGAGCTGCGCGGTGGCCGGTCCGGATCTTCACCCTCTCTTGTGCATACAGCATACATAGTTAGTGACAATATGTGTAATTAATTGTATACAATTATATAACAACACTGTACTTAGTGGGTGTCTTCATCTTTCCTCTCTGACAACTTCAATAGGGAACGTTTCTTGCTCTAGAACTCAACAATTGATTCGTATTCAAAGGATCGACTTGCTCGCAGGATTTCATGCCAAGAAACCTCTTCAAACAAGTACCTCTAAGTAAGACGGCAATGAGGCAATCAGCGTTTTTTTCCTTTTTTGGTCCCACGCGTTCTGTAACCAGGCCTAGGTTCTCAGCATTGCTGACGATGTCCTGAATGGAAAGCATGGCAGAGAGAGAGAGTGTGTGTATGTGGTTGTGTGTGTGTCAACCTCTGTAACTAAGAGTTTCTTTACCTTCTTTCACGTTCACGCAGGGGGCCAGCGCATGGCAACACGACGCAGGTCAACGAAGCTAGTGATGTCATGGGAAGCAGTCAGAGACGTCTGACTGTGTACCTGCTGAACTTTTCCACAAGCTGTTACTCCAATCTTCCTTTGTTTGTTTCCATGGTGGTTCATGATAGCTCCCTCAAACCTTCTCCCCACCACCGCTTTTGCAGCCGCTCTGCAGCCGCGCTGAGTGTCAGATCGTTTTCGAGTGCAATTGCAAACATTGTTCAACCATACTGTTCTTGCCGACCTTTTCACCTTGCGTTTCCCTCTGTCCTTTTTCCTGGGAATTGAGCTAACTGAAAACCAATGTCAGAGTGTGACTCGCTCAGTCGTCCCACTTGGGTGCTGGGTGTGATCCTCCGCAAGGAGGCGCCGATTTCACTCCGGAATTCGTGTAACAGACTCCACCGTTTCCTCCATGCTTTGGATTCTCTTAACTGACTTGGTCTCACCCTTGTATTCCCTGCAACTTACGCCGCCGGGCTCCACGGAACTTCCACCTGATTTGATTTGGTCCACCTTCACGTTTGTTTTTGAGTTTGACATGTTTCCTCCGCACCTCCACACCCCCCCCCCACGGAAATGGTACTCGACACACTTGTGTGTCGGTACCTTTCCTTCTGTTTCTCCTTTTCTACTCCTAGCTACCCGGGCGGTTTAAGACGAATGTCCCGCTCGCTAACTAGTGCATCTAATTCATGCAGCTAAGTAGTCAGTAACTAGCAGGTTTCGTACCTAGTGGGCCTCGTAACTACACCTATCTTTCTTTCTTTCTTGCCTTCACGTTTTCCTTTCTGTCTTTCTTTTCTTTCTTTCTAAGAACTTTTTAGGTGGTTAGTAAGTTCCTCCAGAGCGCCGAATCGGCACCCTGTGCGTGTCAACCTCTGTAACTAAGAGTTTCTTTGCCTTCTTTCACGTTCACGCAGGGGGCCAGCGCATGGCATCACGACGCTGGCCAACGAAGCTAGTGATGTCATGGGAAGCAGTCAGAGACGTCTGACTGTGTACCTGCTGAACTTTTCCACAAGCTGTTACTCCAATCTTTCTTTTGTTTGTTTCCATGGTGGTTCATGATACCTCCCTCAAACCTTCTCCCCACCACCGCTTTTGCAGCCGCTCTGCAGCCGCGCTGAGTGTCAGATCGTTTTCGAGTGCAATTGTAAACATTGTTCAACCATACTGTTCTCGCCGACCTTTTCACCTTGCTTTTCCCTCTTTCCTTTTTCCTGGGAATTGAGTTAACTGGAAACCAATGTCAGAGTGAGTGTGGGACAGTCACCTTGAAAAAGGACGGACACCTTGTGACTTTTGACCAAGGCAGAACCATAAAGTGGTACATGTGCTGGACTCCTCCAGAAGCTTGATGCTGGCCGCAACTTGACTGTAGGCCAGCTCGATCTGAACCCTGGCAGGCGAAGACTGTCACAAACATTTTTCTACCAGTGATATTACGCCAGCTTCAGCTTGGATTTCCACACCCTTCGCGGGAGGGGTGGGAAGGGCGCAAGATTGATGTTGATGTAGCTGCAAAAGGGAAAGAAAAGCTGAAAAATACTGTCTCGACAACCTCTTCGGAGAAGAACAATTCACTTGCAAACGGGGGACCGGGTTTGGCATCATTGGCAGTTACTGTCATTCGGTGAGCGAACCAGCCGCCGTGAGCACATGGTGTTTGGGAAGGCCGGCGTTTGGTCAACCTGTATGTTGTAACACACATCAACGAAGGAGTGAGTCAAAGCTACAAGCCTCAGCCTCTTCATTAGATGCAGCCTCAAACCTAAACAGAACCTGCCGGAAAGTTTGCCTGTACATGCCTAGCTCAACATTTCAAACTTTCTGATCTTGTGCGAAGCTTTGAGAGGCGCCCTCAGTTCTTGTAAAGCATCTGATCCGAAGACATCCCAAGCACTTAGTTTAAAGGAATAACCGGCCTGTATATATAATAGCTAGAAAACATCTTAGTCCAGCTCGCTTCTCTGGGTTTCCAGGCGTTGATCCCACGATGGTGTCCACTTGGTTCATGAACGCAGATCCTACCAGCGCTACAGGAGAAGGGGCTGATCCCGGATGATTTTGCGGCACATTCAGCGAAAATCCGAGCTGGTAGCTGGTGTCGGAGAAAAGAACACATGTCATGATGATGTGTGAGAGCATGCATTATGTTTGCCAGCCTGGATTCAAAACACCCACCAGGGTCTCCAGCCTCAGCAACGCATGAACCAATTACTAGTGATCTGCAAGTTAAACGTTTACTGTCTTCGATTTGTTGATCGCCAGCCCCCAAAATGGGACAATGCGCATTACGGGTGGCTTGTACTATGGCCCGGTGGTACAAACGTACAAACAGATTTGAGAGCTCTGGAATTGATTGTTAATATTGTTTGTAACAATGCAGCCAAACCAAGCAGCAGTACCAAAAGTTCTGCATCAGGTCTTTGACAGAAAGAGTTGCATTTTTGCCTGGAAGCAACCTATTTTGTATGTAATGTAAGCAATCACATAAGATCAAGTAAGTGAGGTGAGGGTGCCGTAACCTGTTCAGAGGTTTGAGTGCTTGGAATGGCAAATGTTAAAGTTTGTTTCACAAGAATTCAGGAGATGCTCTGATATTCTTAGGTTGGAGGTCACCGATGTTTTGTAGCAGGAAGAAAAGACTAAAGAAAAACAGAAAGGAGCGCTGTGCTCATGTACATTCGTCATTATTCGTCCATGTCTTGACGAATTTGCCCCTTCCGTCGAGACAAACATGTACCATTGACACCGAACCAAACCGGACAACGAAGACACCACACACCGGTCTCGGTCGAAGACGGATCAAAAGACAAAGACAAATCGGGTTGCTTGGTATATATATATATATTTTTTTTTAAAAGCAAGCTGTAGGAATCAAAGCGATAATATTTAGAGCCCATAAGGGGCTAGTTGTTGAGGTTGTGGTTGTGGCAAAGAGTCACTCAGGTGAGTGGACAAAGCTGAAAGATTTTGCAGTAGTTCGATGTGATGTGTGTTATCCCTTATGCTTCTTCATTTATCGGTTGTCAATCAGCAAAGGCCACCTCTGGTACAATCTTGTTGAATCTCAACCGCAGGGTCGATTGTCCAACGAAAGCTAAAGAAAGTTAAAGGAAACTGAGGACATGCACTCTGTGTTTGTTCTCTGACTTGGAAGTTTCGAGGGTGATGCTGTGATTTTGATTGTATGTGGACTCGTTCGATATTCATGGCAATTCATGGTCCATACTGACAGGCTATTTGAAGCACTAGACGTCCTTCAAGCCTTGGCAAAAGCACGGGAACGAAGGCAAACGTCCTCTTCCATTTACCTCGAAGTTCTTCCAAACGGTGCTACTCTGCGTGTCCGGGCACACCGATGGCTGGCAACAGGCCCACGAAGGTGTCAGTGCCTGCCACACTGTCCTGACAGTAGTGGGATTCAACTGACGCAACAGAAAGACCGTACAAGGATATGCCAAACATCTAAGCGTTTGAAGAGTATTGCGACAAATATAGTATAGCTTAACAGCAAGCTTTGCGGCAGCTATTTTGCGTCGTCCTTTGGAAACCTTGTGAAGGAACCTGCGACCTGCTTGCTCAAAGATATAGACATATCATGATATCTGAAACCATTTCTCCCACGATTATTTTCTTTTGACACATGCAAGCGCCTGCTCCTGGAGTTACTAAAAGGTTGGTGAAGACGTGAACTGAACAGTCGTGTGTGATCTGCTCCACTGGTGACTGAAGGGACCTCAGCAAGCTCAACTAGTCCTGAACAAGCTCCGCCGCTGCGCAGAAGGTGCCAGCAAAGCCCTCGTCAACCTGGGTGGCTCCCCTGGCGCAGCACACTCTCTTGGCACACAGAAAATATGCAACGAAGGAAGTAGTAGTAAGGCCAGGAGCCCCTAGTAGCGTCCTTGCTCCTAGTAGCGATGCCAGGAGCCCCTAGTAGGTTCTTGTTGGTAGTAGAAAGGCCAGGAGTCCCTCCCTAGTAGCGTCCTTGCTGCTAAGAGGAAATACGGAACTGTGGAAGGAACTGAAAGAAACACGCAATCCCAATGGAACAAAGGTAAGTAGAGCGAGGAGCTACAAAAGAGATCGATGATCGATGCACAAAAGTCTTGTCAACCAAGCATGTCACTTTATGTAGACCCCATTGTACCAGTGTACCATGGCTGACCCAGAAGAGCCCGGGACCCCAGACAAAAAGGACACTTCTTGGAATCATTTGACATGTTTCTCACTGTACTGATTCCCAGTATGTTTTCAATTATATCACCATCACCAGTTTTCTTCCACACAGCCTTGGATCTGCCGCACTGTGCCTCAAGCTCAAGGAGACCAAAACAACAGCCGCGACGCCCAAACCAATGAAGATCAGCCACAGCAGAACCTAGCATCCAATCTTGAAAGATCACAGCGACTCCTGCATTCAACCCAAGGGAATATGATTTCTAGCTAGCAAATCTGCCTTCTCATAAACTCACCTCTACTTATGTGGAACTAATGGGTGTGTTTAAATAAGTGTGTGCTGACCAAATCAATGATACTCTCTGGCGCAAAAACAAAGCGAAAACATCATGACACTCTGACATGAAGTGACGAAGTGCACACGGAGCGATGCAAATCCGGCGACTCGATTCGCCATTGGTTGAGTCGCGCCACGCAAGAAGCAGGGAGAAGGAAGCACACCGCGCATAAACATGAACAGTAGAATAGCATTTCATAGAAATGGTACGGAATAGCACCGCCGGTGCATCCAGGACTGCCCTACCAAGCACCAAACAAGCTCCGGAGTCTCTCCTACGACACTCTGCTGATGCTGTCAGAGGTCAGCGGGAGAGACGTCGCACTTTTTGCATTGGGCCCTTTCTTCTTGACCCTTCTGGAGTGCTTCCCTCAGGCCCTACATGATAGGTCCAAACTGATGACCCGATGCAGTCTTGGCTGACCCGATGCTAGATGACGAAACGCGGCTCCGTCGACCATTGATGTCCACATGCTGGCCATGCCTAATCGGAACGATCTACAAGCAGTGTAGGCATGAAGATGCATGAAGGCTGAAGGCAGGTGAAGGCAGATGTCACCTCAGTTCATTCAAAAGCAAACAGCATCGTGATCGTCTTGGAGGTGCGACTCAGATTGAGCTCAAGAGCTGTGTCGACATGATGAAAAGGAAGAAGGGAAGAAGTCTCAACATGTCTCAACCGCCCCAAAGCTGCTGAATACGTTCTTATGAGTTCTCAAACCACCGATTCGAACAACGCTGCAAACAAGCTAGGTTGCAGATCGGAAAGAGCCGAACAAATTGCAAAAGCAGGAACAAGCTGATTTCTGTGAAAGTGAGAACCGGTTGACAGTGAGAACCACAGTGGCCAAGCAACATGAATTCAAACTCTTGTGTTTAAGAGCCCCTTGATGCCCGTAGCCCTGGCCTGACAAATGCGACTTTCGCCAATGGTCCTCTTCTTCTGACAGCATTTGCAGCAACAGCGCATACAGCACCTGAAGAAGCCAAAGCAAGGATTGCGACAGTGCTATTCAAAGTCAACCACATAGTCACAGTGCTACGATCAATGAGGGTGAGCGGGCACTTCAACACTTAGTGTTGGGGTGCCTGACTGTGACAGTTTGCCCTTTGTATGTTCAGACTGAACCACTTGATCTGAGGTTCCGAACGGGCAGCAAATGAACCAGCAGCATAGGATCCACAACTTAGCAAGCTTTTCAGGTGAGGCGTGATACATGTGCTGATTTGGTATCACTCATGGGATGGTGACTCAATTCAGAGTGCTGGGACAACCTTATCATTGCGAAGGTTGGACCCTCCGTATCACTGTGTTGAGGTTTGGTGTTCCAAGCAGCCGACCACGAGGAGGATCTGGCAAGTCGGGCAGGGGATTCCGGGATTTGATGACTTGAGGGACGGGACACCGGCCGAAGCAGTTGATTGGGTCTGATGATGGTCTGATGCTAGGTTCTTCTTGTTCCACTCAATATCAACCGGTCATGTAGGAGCTTTCATGACAAAAATGACTTGAGTCAACAGCGGCAACAAGTGCTGAACAAGTTGTTTGCAGTGGGTTCATTTTGTCAAGAAAAGAAATTGGATAATATGTTTATGTCTATAATTGTCTACAATTCTATATACATATATGTATATACATATATATGTGATATATATATATATTGTGTATCAAGTTTCCGCAGTGTGTTGATCTTGCTGCACAAGCAGTGCTCAGCTGTGCTCTAGCATCGCCAGAGTGGGTGAGACAACCAATCACCAAGTTTACATGGCGACTCGCTAGACAAGCTAATAGCGATGGCCTTTAACCTTATAAGAGTGATGGCCTCCAACCTAGATTCTGCGATGGCCTCCAACCTAGAAGCCATGGCGATGGCCTCCAACCTACTTTTGTGGTGAACCTTTATGAAATCCAGTGCACTTGATGAGCATCTGCCAGCCAGGGCTGTGAAATGATGTTTGCTTGGTGTCCCTCAACCATGTCAGCGGCACAATGGACAACACCACAGCAAATGCCTGAAGTCGGCACCAAGCTTCAAACATATACAAGTCAATCAAGTATCTAAGTTGTACTATCTATGTGTTTATGAAATCTTTCTATCGGCCTTGACATCCGCAGTGTCATTCTTAATCCGCCGACCCCAGCTGATGCTGGGGTCGGCGCGCCAAAGGACACTGCACAGGAATCGGTTACAGACTGGCTGACTGACTGACGGACGGACTGATTGACGCACAGAG